GTCACATGACAACAACAAGATAATTGTCACCATACAGGCAATAAAGCTGCTGCTGAACAATTCACAGAGAAGATAGACTATAATTGCACTGACTCGAAAGAATAAATGGAAAAATGATGCCACTGGGTGTCTGAAAACCAAAACATAACAAAAGAAATGCAATTACATTTTACGACAGGTACTGCAGATGTATATGACAATGTTTCAGCTGTAACAGAACCATGCAGTCTTGTCAAAATAAAAGATGACTTGAGGAAGAAGCAAACCGCCTGTCTCTTTTCTCATTAAGTCCCATTATTTGACTAGACCCTGTGTTTCTGTTGTCACAGAAAACACACTATGTAAACACGACTTTAATACCTCATTGATTATAAATCTTCCCAAAATGCATAACAAGAATCTTTACCAAGCTTGGAGAAATAAGGAAATTATACTCTTAGGATAGACTTATTTTTACCTGTCTAAAAATCATGCCCGAAGAATTTCCAGGCCCTCAGAAATCACTTCAGGCACTAAGACAAAATAACCATCAGGTTGTTTTATTAACAACTTCATAGAGATGTAATCCACGTGCCATACAACTCAACTATTTAAAGTGTATAATTCAGTGATTTTGGTACAGTCGCAGAATTATGCAACCATCACACCATCAGTTTTAGAACTTTTTCATGACCCTAAAAAGAAACCCTAAACCCATGAGCAGTCACTCCCCATGTACCCCAATCCCACCAACCTCCAGCCCTGGGCACCCACCAATGTACTTTTTGTCTCTGTAGATTTATCTATCCTGGACATTTCACATAAGTGACATCACATAATACATGGTCTTTTGTGACTGGCATCTCTCACCTAGCATAATGCTTCCAAGGTTCTGGCAGAATTTGATTTCATTAAGTGAATTTCTTTAGAGAGAACAAAGTTTGGAAGAGAAGTATGTTTGGCATGATGTTTTCATATTAGTTGATACAAAAGATGCAATTCTGAAATATGTACAATAAATCAGAA